AATATTAAACGCTATCTAGTACACGGGAGCATCCACTGGGGAGGTGAAGTATTCTAATCAATAATATCTTTATCTGTTTTGTAACTTTCTTTTGCTGCAAACTTGTTCTATAACATACTATGTTGACATCACTTATATATCTACAAAAAGTACCGCCGGTTGAAGAGCAATGAATCTAACTGGCTATGTACGAACTCGGATTGCTACATTGACAACATTCTTTTATCAAAACTCATATTATCAAACCATTACCTTTGTCACTGTCGACTTGGTGGCCAAAAGTGAGGACGCAAAGTTGAAAAAAAATCAAGACACTTATTGTAAATTGGAATTAGAAAAAATTGGCGTGAAAGTAATTTCGCTACCGAATCTTATGATTTCTTTCTTCATCATGAATGAAATAATTTAATTTAGGTTTCTCATCATAATTGAAAACAAATTTACATCGCCAATTCGCTTACCACATTTATCAAATTTGAATTACATGTTTAGAAGTTTACAAGGTTTATATTATATTGTAAATAAGCATTCATTAATGTCATAATAACTTAATGTACTATGTTTGTGGTTAAAAGTCGTCAAAATTGGTTCAGAAACGGATTCACAACACTTTTTTTTTTAATTCAAATTCAATATTATCATATATTATGTTTTAATCATTGCGAACTTACATGTGGCCATCGACTATTTTTACCTATGATAAAACCAAAATTTGACGACCACACATCCTCAAGCGCTTTCTCTACTTCTTTCAGATGTAAAATACTCAAAAGGCCAGATGATTGTAATCTCTAAAGTTTGATTTTAAATATCAGTCGTTTACCCATTATGGGTTTCAGATGATATTGTAACATTGTTAACTGTACCCGTAAGTCTAGATCTGTACTGGCTAATTTTGAAACACGGCCTATCCCTTTGGTAGCGTTAGTATTGTAGGGGACGGAACTCTAACAAATATTATAGCATGAACGTTTGGTTCTTTTTCTCTGGTGATGTCCATGCGGGTGCGATGTGTCAATATCGTCAAATAATCATACACTTGTGTAAGATTGTTTTATGTCAGTATAATATGTTTTAATGATACGCAATTATTGCATGACCATACTATGTTATATAGTTTGCAAATATGCGGGAGTTGTATGTCCATTTTGTTGTATAGTTAAACACCTAGATAAAGTTTTAAATTGTTATCGGGGTATGTCTACATGTTTGTCAACAGTTTGAATCAACAACGTTATAACCCGTAACCAGTTTACCGTATAGTCTTAACTTGTGACCGCCAATAGTTATAATAGTTAAAGATATTGTTCAACCATGCATATAATAGCTCTTATGTATAGTATAGCTCTGGAGAGTATCGACTTCATCATTATCTAAAATAGCATCTGTTAAAAAGTTTGAACTTTGAATCACGTCTCCAAGATCTGCTATATTGGCTAATCCTTTTTGTCTTTAAGAAGAAAATAAATAAATCAAAAAAGATTATCTTTAATAGAATCAAGACTTAATTTGTTAAATATCTCTACAGAAATCAATAAATGTAGTACTGAGGATCACATTGGCAGAAGATATTTTAAACACCCTCCCGGTATATGTATTATACTGGATTATTACTGTACATCACTTTCCTAAAATCAATCTGTTTTAGAATTATAATCAAACTGAGTTTGTTATAGAGTTACTTATCAAGTAGAATATACTGATATATCTATTGACGACTTATATCGTCCGCTAGTATCAAACTTTTGTCAGCTATCAGTATTTCTATTCTTTCTAGAGAACTGTTTACAGTATAACAAATATGGTCTCCTATCAACGAAGTCATTGGATAAACGAGGCCGGTACAATCTGTCGATTTTTGGATTCCTTTTGTTCCGAGATTGTTTTAGTATCCAGATCGCCTATGACTACTTTACGATATTTCAACGTCTTTACAGGAAAGTGTTTTTTTATGTTTAATGTATTTATCCTCCATATTATATCTGTTTACAACTTTATGAAAGGCTGCCAGTTGTGACGCCCTAGGTTCAGGGCTATCACGCACTCGATGCCTACCCCCATAAGCCCATCAATTATATTGTCCACTATTTCAAATATTGGTTCGTATTAAAATGATTGTGTCAATAAGGTGTGTGAATATCGTGTAAATATTATAAATGGGTTAGTAAGGTGCGTGACGATCTTGTTGACAATTGTATCAATAAGGTGTGTGAATATCGTGTAAATAATTGTGTCAATAAGTTGTGAAAATATAAATGTAAAGCTGAAAAAATGATACATTTCTATGAATGACGGGAAAATATATAGGCAGTAAGCAAATAGTTCTTGGTGAATCTTGTCTGCTGGTAGTTATCCCCCGCTTTCACCGAAACGGGGGTATTAATTTGGGTTTGTCCGTCTGTATGTCTGTCTGTCTGTCACGCTTCGTTTTCGTGCAATAACTACAACAAATGTTAACCGATTTTCTTCAAACTTGTTCACAGGGTTAAATACCTTAAGGGCTCGGCCAAGTTCGATTACCACATGCAGCGGACCCCATTTGGCGGAGTTATGGCCCTTGAATAACGAAAAATGTCATTATCTTCCGTTTCCGTGCAATAACTACAACAAATGATAACCCATTTTTCAAATTTGGTCACTGTGTTAAATGCCTTAAGGGCTTGGCCAAGTTCGATTACCACTTTCAGCGGACCCCATTTGGCGGAGTTATGGCCCGTGAATAACAAAAAACGTCATTATCTTCCGTTTCCTTGCAATAACTACAACAAATGTTAACCGTTTTTCTTCAAACTTAGTAACAGGGTTCAACGCATTAAGGGCTCGGCCAAGTTTGACAACCACTTTAATCGGACTCCATTTGGCAGAGTCGTTATCTGCAGTTTCCACTTAATAACTCTAGCAAATATTAGATAAGGCGCTTTTTTTCTTCGAGTTTTAAGCTATACACTATGTCTCAACAGCACGATACTCACATGTTTAAACCTAACCTCAATAATGTTTACCTACAATATGTCCTAAAAGCGGGGGATATAAATTCCACGAATTTGCTTGTTGTTATACATTGTGTGCAAAGTTGTGTGTCTATATATAATGATATAAACTATGTTAATCATTCATGTGCATATCGTGTCAGTGATTGTGTCATTACGTTTTGTTAATATCTGTGCTGGCTAATCATTGGCTGCCGATGAGGAAATCCATGTAACGCGTATGTTTTATGGCACGCGTCACGTTCTTCATTCAGCAGTCATCTATGAAACCATCAAATAAATGTTCTGCAGATTTCAATGTTTATAAACTAACCCACTACCCACACTCTTGGTTATTTGATTCATTTTGTGTACATGGCGTTTTCAAGCAACCCAACTGAAGCTAGGTAACAATATTTCATTCATTTCCGGAGGGGTACATGTATAGTATTGATAACAAGCTGTTACTATAGTGGCAATCTCTTTAACACTAGATTTTCTATTATACTACGATACTCTAAGTTCATCAACATATGTAAACCACAGAATGTCTGTTAACCGTATCGTGCTAATCTGGTTATAAATACCACTAATCTTAGTTTTATTTTATAATTATCACTTATAATTTGCTTAGTATTTATCTAATAATAACCACATTGTTTGCTTACTTATATGCTATTTTATAGTAACTACTTACATTTCGTATTATGTTAATGAAGGAACAAGTAGCCGTAATAATTTCCTTCACATAATTATTAATCATCTGATGAAAACTATGAAATAAATTTCAAAACTTTGTCCTGTATCAGCTTATATTTGTCAGTTGTCCGCATTTTATCCTTTATTAATCTTCATATATACAACAATCTACCTATTGCACACAACTTAGTTTATGCTTAATGAATCTTTATATTATATCTATAGTATGTTATTTATCCTTTACTCATCTTTATATGTCTGTTTTTACGTGCTTTATCCTTTATTCATCCTTATATTTATATTGCACGTGATTTGTCCTTTATCAATCTGTATATGTCTAAAGCACGTGATTATCCTTTATCAATCCTTTTATGTCTTGTGTACGTGATTTGTCCTTTATCAATCTTTATATGTCTAAAGCACGTGATTTGTCCTTTATCAATCTTTATATGTCTTTTGTACGTGATTTGTCCTTTATCAATCTTTGTATGTCTTGTGTACGTGATTTGTCCTTTATCAATTTTTATATGTCTTGTTTACGTGATTTATCCTTTATCGATCTTTATATGTCTCTTGTACGTGATTTGTCCTTTATCAATTTTTATATGTCTTGTTTACGTGATTTATCCTTTATCGATCTTTATATGTCTTTTGTACGTGATTTGTCCTTTATCAATCTTTGTATGTCTTGTGTACGTGATTTGTCCTTTATCAATTTTTATATGTCTTGGGTACGTGATTTATCCTTTATCGATCTTTATATGTCTTTTGTACGTGATTTGTCCTTTATCAATTTTTATATGTCTTGTGTACGTGATTTGTACTTTATCAATTTTTATATGTCTTGTGTACGTGATTTGTCCTTTATCAATCTTTATATGTCTTTTGTACGTGATTTGTACTTTATCAATTTTTATATGTCTTTTGTACGTGGTTTGTCCTTTATCAATCTTTATATGTCTTGTGTACGTGATTTGTCTTTTATCAATCTTTATATGTCTTGTGTACGTGGTTTGTCCTTTATAAATCTTTATGTCTTGTGTACGTGATTTTTCATTTATAAATCTATAAATGTACATGTATGCTGTAGGTGATTTTTCGTTAACCAATTTTTAAGTCTGTAGCTGTGTGTTTTGATTACGTTATTTGTTTTCTACAGACTTTATGAATGATTATCTTTGTTATCTCACAAATATAATTTTAAATTTTCATAATTTGTAATGGGAAATCAAATACCTCAAAATCATATAAAATAGTTTGATATTTTTTTGAAATATTCAATCATTGTTATTTCCGTAATAATAAAAAAGTAAAAACCTGGCAGGTGTTTTTGACATTTTTAATGTATAAGAAATTCATTTGAATAAAGGAAATTTCATAGTTATTAATAGAACAATACTATGTATATACGTGCTTACAATATATGGCATTCAACATACACGTTATATATATATATATATATATCGTGTAACAATTAACCTGAAATCAAGAATAGAAACATTATGAATGACGTCATACATCGAAACGCCATATCAAGTGTCTTATGTCAACATTGACGTCATATATATATTTACTACACCATTAAATCATCACACATTTTTCATTGACGTCATGCATCACTATCCCGTCCAAAATGTCGTCATCACTCTTCCGTCCAACATGACGTCATGTAATGTTTGCTTTTCATAGAACTCGTCACACTACGTCAATCTCCTCCTGTGAATGGGAGTTTTCATTGTCAACTCTGGGTTCCTCGAACCTGCTTTTGTAATTGTCACTTGGTGGAGGGGAGTCGGTACAACTGTCCGACTTTTCCTGATTCTCGTGTATGAACTTGGCACTGTGTTCCTGAGCTTTGGCCCGGAGGGAGGCGATACTTTCCGACCGGATCTCCTCTCTGTCCCTGTCTCGGACGTCCAGGGTATCCTTCTCCACCGGTTCATCATCTTCTTCTTGAAGTTTGGCGGCGGCTTCAATTGACTTTTTATGCATACCTGCTGGATAGAGACACACACGACTTAAAACGTCTCTTTCTACACAACACCTGTCCAATACGTTAAACAAGTAAATTTCTGTAATGTTTTACGGTATATTTTAACTACGTGTATTAACTGTGTTATATTCACTAGAAACATAACCTATGAAAGTATCTGTTTAAACATCAATCAGTCGATGCATAAAGGCAAACAACGTAATATTATATTATTAAACCATATGAGTAGATCGTCCATTTTGGATCACCAGTGGTATCAAAGCTCAGAACAGTGACAATCACGTGAGAGTGTTCCGAAATATATGTGGGAATACAGCAAAACGGAAAGGTACACTAAAGCACTAGGCTACTATAGACAAATTACTCTTAAACTAGCATTTAATGTAAAACGTGCCACAATGAATTTCTGCTACACGGTTAGGGCCAACTTAGGGGACAGATCGTCCACCAGCACAGCCAATGACGTAAAATCACGGAAATTACGAAGTAAGGAAACGATGCATATGGACTATTTAAATGTGCGCCTGCTAAATTGGTTTCACATGTCCGTTATAATAACACGTGTCTTTACTTTGTGTGTTTAAAACTGTTTTAGTACGAAAAAACGTCTGACACTCACTGAGAAGCCATGGAGCGCAAGAGTCCAGGACGCCATCTTTTGCACTTTTTAATATCGTTTCCGGAAGTGGAAGTGAGTGTCGTACCATGGCGCCATATAAACCATATTCTGCCATTATACTACTTCTACCCCAAGTCTTTTCTGTCTTTCTCCATTTTGCACGTCTGTTTTGAAACCAAACCTGTAATAGATATATGAACATGTATGTTATTAATGTGAAATCTGATAACAGTTGTGTGTATATAGCTTCAAATAATAACGAATGTGTTTGTGTTGCATGTATTCATAGCTATATTGCAAATAGGAAAAATAGGTGAAATCTACAAAGCAATGTTAATATGCCTTATGCAGATATAGATTTATCAATCGGAGCTTAGATTACAATATCTACTGCATCTGTCAGTGAATATATAATCCTGTGTATTGTTCATGTCATGTCCTAAAACAACTCTTAACAAGAAAAAACATAATGCAGCATTCAAGTGTCTTTTGAATTAACAGTCACGTGCTTTTATTGAACGAAATGTATAGTGCTTGTATCGCGATAATAAATTGTTATCCAAGTATTATACAACAATGGCAAAATACACATAATGCTATTGTCTTTAAGATACAACATAGACGTTTAGCCAGTGGGGACTATTTTAGTTCCAGGCAAAGGTAGACTTGTGTCTATTCTCGCACAAGTCTCGCGTTTCACCTCCACGCTGTCACAACGTCGCCACGTGATGGGTTGTTTTTCAACGTATCTTAACGACCCTTTGCTATAGAAAGTAGAAATTCCAGATAATTTGCAAACCATGCCACGCTGTAATTTATTAATTGATGCAAACGTTTCGACGAAGTAATGAAGATGTGTGTAAAATCACTGGTGGACCATTGTGAAGTTTCCGCTTTGTATCGACGTCATATTGATCGACTGCGCAGCACGTGCCGACGGCAGCGCCGAGTAGTATCACACGCGCGTCATTAGCCGGTGGTAGCGACGGGCGGTATTATCCCAGTGCCACTAAACCAATTACGGCTATTTCTTTGATGGGCTAAGAGGAAGTAATGGGTTGGTATAAATCTTATTAACTTGTAATTAGACACACGATTTAATTGCCAAAAGATATCATTAGCCCACCCTAGGATCATTAGGGAGGGCTCGGTACCGGTGACAGGGATTTCGGACAAGAAACGGAAAACGAGAAATTTCCTGTCAGGAATGTTGAATTATAAAAACATCTTTATCTGATTAACACAAACACTGTAACATAATGTTATTTGATTCCTCATTGTATGGAAAGGAAATCAATGATTGACCATTGAATTTTCGTTTGTTTGCGTCAATAAATTGTTGTATTGCTACCTGATGTTGAAAACAGAAACCGATGACGTGCGGAGGTGGCTGATCTTAGTGTGTAATTTATAACCGGTATTAACACCATGGGAGTGGGACTCGTTCATATTGTTACCGACTTAGCTACGATGAATTACAGCAACGTTGTAAAACAAAACAAACTAAACTAGTAAAATTGTTTAATTAAACACATTGATAATTAATTGCTGTGCAAAACATTCAGAATGCCTGAGTTTCCATGAATTCTATTAAGTGGATAAAGTGATTTCTGTCACATATGAAAATAGTGCCTTAAATAAGGGAATTTTCAATTTCGATTACAGTACGCAATTTCATTTTTGCATTGGATATCCAATTTGGGTTGAAGTGTAGTAATTGGAATGTGAGCCTGTTTATCATGTCAGACAAGTTCTTGTCTTTGGTTAGAAACATTTATATGTCCAAGGCTGATATTACGCCATTACGTGATACTGCCTTGGATCAAAATTCAATAAGATGCATCAATTTATAATTATAGCTGATCGCACGTCTATAAAACGTGATCAAGTGTTCGATTACAAGGCTTAAATCAAGAATTATGACAGCGCTAGTTTACGGTCCATTGACTGATCACAGACCGTGACGGTCGGTCTTTAGCGCGTGATTTACGCGCTGTTCAATGGTTGACCCGGGGCCCCGGGGAAGGTTTTAATCTACTACTTCCAAATCACTATTACTAAGCATCGGATTTTTTCATAAAGAAGAACAATAAGGACATTTTGTATTCGAATAAAAATCCGCTAGGAGTTATTGAAGGCGCATTAATTCATTGAGCGTCCCCATCCCTTGTGGAGCGAGGGAAATGCAATAAACTTAACGCGTCTCATGGCGCGATCTCCAATTAGCTTTTAATTGAAACTGGTCACGACAGGAGAAATTGCATTAGTATAACAAATCTATTAATTGAAATCACATAATTGTGGAGGATGCGTATAAGAATACAGCTAATCTATTAGATAAATGGAAATTAGTCGACAGCATTTCATTCTCCTCGCTCTTGATATCCTCATAGCAAAACACATTGTGACAAATATGTCTCTTGGGGCATCAGTTTCATTCAACGAAAAATAAGTGTCCGAACAAGATAGTGCTCTGTTCTGTTTGATCAGAAATTAATCATGCCGATTGTAGACAGGCCACCATTTTAGCCAGCCAGCGCCTTGTGTTATTACCTTTCCCCCTCACTGGGCCGACCATCGCCTCGTGAGCCCATGGGATCCACCTCTGCGGTGTTAATAGACCTTAATTGGGAACTTGGATTGAGCGTATATATTTTATATGTACTTTTTCGTACACACCCTATCGCTATCGACATGCGTTAGCTTTACTGCGCTCAGTCTGTCGGAGGCAGTGCTTGCCTCGAAACGCCAACCACTCGGTGTGACAGAGGCCGTCTAAGCGTGGAAGGACACTCACTTTGATTCGGCTTACCCAGACACTCTTAATTGCTTATTACATGTCTTTATGACGCAAAATACATTAAATGATTAGCAATCTACTCAATTTGGTGTTTGCTTTGTTAAGTGATGTTTTGTAGCAGGGCCTATCGCTGGTGGCGCTAACTACTATCTGGTGTGCAGTGGCCACGAATGGTAACGTCTGTGAAACCTGTGGTGACTAGAACCACTAGTTATTAGTTGATACCTATTTGGGACACGTATGACCAGAGCTAATCACTGGAGTTTTACCCAACTACTGTAGTATATTGGTACACGTAGACTCAAGCCGTCTAGTGCTGATTACAGTTATTACGACACCGTAAGATTGGCGCGCGTTCACGGTGAAAGTTACACAGAGATAATTCCGTTATTGTTTCGATAACACCACCTCCAATTACACTATAGCAGCATTGTTACTCACTTACACAACTTCCAATGGACACCCCTATCTCTGTGAAAACACACACTCCTTAATTTCCTCGTTTCACTTACTAAAGACATTAGTAACGTTATGATGCGTGAAGCTTTCTATCAAATATGGACATGTGGCCTTAACTCACAGATGAAAAATTGCGATGGAGTTCCCGGATGCTAGTCATATGAACGGAAATAGATATGAACCTCGGTGCCTTGGTTTCTTCTACTGGTTATTATAAGAAGCACATCTGATTTAATTATAAAAGTACAGAAATATCTACTAGGAGCATGTAAATCTTATAAAACAAAATATATGACAATGATTACAACTGCTAGCATGTGAAGTTATATTTCCCATCACTACTGTACACGTGCTGTCGTCTGATTAGCATGTGAAGTTATATTTCCCATCACTACTGTACATGTGCTGTCGTCTGATAAGTTATATTGCCCAGCACTACTGTACACGTGCTGTTGACTGACAAGTTATATTTCCCATCACTACTGTACACTTGCTGTCGTCTGATAAGTTATATTGCCCAGCACTACTGTACACGTGCTGTCGTCTGATTAGCATGTGAAGTTATATTTCCCATCACTACTGTACCCGTGCTGTCGTCTGATAAGTTATATCTCCCAGCACTACTGTACACGTGCTGTTGTCTGATAAGTTATATTTCCCATCCCTACTGTACACGTGCTGTCGTCTGATTAGCATGTGAAGTTATATTTCCCATCACTACCGTACACGTGCTGTCGTCTGATAAGTTATATTGCCCATCACCTGCTAGCATGTGAAGTTATATTTCCCATCACTACTGTACCCGTGCTGTCGTCTGATAAGTTATATTTCCCAGCACTAGTGTACACGTGCTGTTGTCTGATAAGTTATCTTTCCCAGTACTACTGTACACGTGCTGTTGTCTGATTAGTTATATTTCCCATCACTACTCTACACGTGCTGTTGTCTGATAAGTTATCTTTCCCAGTACTACTGTACACGTGCTGTTGTCTGATAAGTTATATTTCACATCACTACTGTACACGAGATGTAGTCTGATAAGTTATATTTCCCATCACTGCTGTACTCGTGCTGTCGTCTGATAAGTTATATTTCCCATCACTACTGTACACGTGCTGTCGTCTGAAAAGTTATATTTCCCACTACTACTGTACACGTGCTGTTGTCTGATAAGTTATATTTCCCATCACTACTGTACACGTGCTGTCGTCTGATAAGTTATATTTCCCATCACTACTGTACACGTGCTGTCGTCTGATAAGTTATATTTCCCATCACTACTGTACACGTGCTGTCGTCTGATAAGTTATATTTCCCATTACTACTGTACACGTGCTGTCGTCTGATAAGTTTTTTTCATATGCTTTTTGTAAGTGTGTAGTTGTAGCTGAGTAATATCAGTGTGTGTAGTTGTAACTGAGTAAGGTCAGTGTATGTAGTTGTAACTGAGTAATGTCAGTTGTAACTGAGTAATGTCAATGTGTGAAGTTGTAACTGAGTAATGTCGGTGTGTAGTTGTAACTGAGTAATATCAGTGTGTGTAATTGTAAATGAGTAATGTCAGTGTGTGTAGTTGTAACTGAGTAATGTCATTGTGTAGTTGTAACTGAGTAATGTCAATGTGTGAAGTTGTAAATGAGTAATGTCAGTGTGTGTAGTTGTAACTGAGTAATGTCAGTGTGTGTAATTGTAACTGAGTAATGTCAGTGTGTGTAGTTGTAACTGAGTAATGTCAGTGTGTGTAATTGTAACTGAGTAATGTCAGTGTGTGTAGTTGTAAATGAGTAATGTCAGTGTGTGTAGTTGTAACTGAGTGATGTCAGTGTGTGTAATTGTAACTGAGTAATGTCAGTGTGTGTAGTTGTAACTGAGTAATATCAGTGTGTGTAATTGTAAATGAGTAATTTCAGTGTGTGTAATTGTAACTGAGTAATGTCAGTGTGTGTAATTGTAACTGAGTAATGTCAGTGTGAGTAGTTGTAACTGAGTAATATCAGTGTGTGTAATTGTAAATGAATAATTTCAGTGTGTGTAATTGTAACTGAGTAATGTCAGTGTTTGTAGTTGTAACTGAGTAATGTCAGTGTGTGTTATTGTAACTGAGTAATGTCAGTGTGTGTAGTTCTAACTAAGTAATGTTGGTGGGTGTAGGTGTAACTGAGTAATGTCATTGTGTGTAGTTGTAACTGAGTAATGTCAGTGTGTGTAATTGTAAATGAGTAATGTCAGTGTGTGTAGTTGTAAATGTGTGATGTCAGTGTGTGTAGTTGTAAATGAGTAATGTCAGTGTGTTTAATTGTAACTGAGTAATGTCAGTGTGTGTAGTTCTAACTAAGTAATGTTGGTGGGTGTAGTTGTAACTGAGTAATGTCATTGTGTGTAGTTGTAACTGAGTAATGTCAGTGTGTGTAATTGTAACTGAGTAATATCAGTGTGTGTAGTTGTAACTAAGTAATGTCAGTGTGTGTAGTTCTAACTAAGTAATGTTGGTGGGTGTAGTTGTAACTGAGTAATGTCAGTGTGTGTAATTGTAAATGAGTAATGTCAGTGTGTGTAGTTGTAAATGTGTCATGTCAGTATGTGTAGTTGTAAATGTGTAATGTCAGTGTGTGTAATTGTAAATGAGTAATGTCAGTGTGTGTAGTTGTAAATGTGTAATGTCAGTGTGTGTAGTTGTAACTGAGTAATGTCAGTGTGTGTAGTTGTAAATCAGTAATGTCAGTGTGTGTAGTTGTAACTGAGTGATGTCAGTGTGTGTAATTGTAACTGAGTTATGTCAGTGTGTGTAGTTGTAAATGAGTAATGTCAGTGTGTGTAGTTGTAACTGAGTGATGTCAGTGTGTGTAATTGTAAATGAGTAATGTCAGTGTGTGTAATTGTAAATGAGTAATGTCAGTGTGTATAATTGTAACTGAGTAATGTCAGAATGTGTAGTTGTAACTGAGTAATGTCAGTGTGTGTAATTGTAAATGAGTAATGTCAGTGTGTGTAATTGTAACTGAGTAATGTCATAGTGTGTAATTGTAACTGAGTGATGTCAGTGTGTGTAGTTGTAACTGAGTAATGTCAGTGTGTGTAGTTGTAACTGAGTAATGTCAGTGTGTGTAGTTGTAACTGAGTAATGTCAGTGTGTGTAGTTGTAAATGAGTAATGTCAGTGTGTGTAGTTGTAACTGAGTGATGTCAGTGTGTGTAATTGTAACTGAGTAATGTCAGTGTGTGTGATTGTAACTGAGTAATGTCAGTGTGTGTAATGGTAACTGAGTAATGTCAGTGTGTGTAGTTGTAACTGAGTAATGTCAGTGTATGTAGTTGTAACTCAGTAATGTCATTGTGTAGTTGTAACTGAGTAATGTCAATGTGTGAAAATGTAAATGAGTAATGTCAGTGTGTGTAGTTGTAAATGAGTAATGTCAGTGTGTGTAGTTGTAACTAAGTAATGTCAATGTGTGAAAATGTAAATGAGTAATGTCAGTGTGTGTAGTTGTAAATGAGTAATGTCAGTGTGTGTAGTTGTAACTGAGTAATGTCAATGTGTGAAAATGTAAATGAGTAATGTCAGTGTGTGTAGTTGTAAATGAGTAATGTCAGTGTGTGTAGTTGTAACTAAGTAATGTCAATGTGTGAAAATGTAAATGAGTAATGTCAGTGTGTGTAGTTGTAAATGAGTAATGTCAGTGTGTGTAGTTGTAACTGAGTAATGTCAATGTGTGAAAATGTAAATGAGTAATGTCAGTGTGTGTAGTTGTAAATGAGTAATGTCAGTGTGTGTAGTTGTAATTGAGAAATGTCATTGAGAGTTTGTATCTGAGCAATTCGAATGTGTGTAGTTATATCTGAGTAATGTCATTGTGTGTAGTTGTAACTGTGTAATATCAGCGTGTGTAGTTGTAACTAAGTAATGTTAGTGTGTGTAGTTGTAAATGTGTAATGTCAGTGTGTGTAGTTGTAAATGTGTAATATCAGCGTTTGTAGTTGTAACTAAGTAATGTTAGTGTGTGTAGTTGTAAATGTGTCATGTCAGTGTGTGTAGTTGTAAATGTGTAATGTCAGTGTGTGTAGTTGTAAATGTGTAATGTCAGTGTGTGTAATTGTAAATGTGTAATGTCAGTGTGTGTAATTGTAGCTGAGTGATGTCAGTGTGTGTAATTGTAAATGAGTAATGTCAGTGGGTGTAATTGTAAATGAGTAATGTCATGTAATTGTAACTGAGTAATGTCAGCGTGTGTAGTTGTAAATGCGTAATGTCAGTGTGTGTAGTTCTAACTAAGTAATGTCAGTATGTGTAGTTGTAAATGTGAAATGTCAGTGTGTGTAGTAGAATGTGTAATAGTGTGTGTAATTGTAACTGAGTAATGTCAATGTGTGAAGTTGTAAATGAGTAATGTCAGTGTGTGTAGTTGTAAATGTGTAATGTCAGTGTGTGTAGTAGAATGTGTAATGTCAGTGTGTGTAATTGTAACTGAGTAATGTCAGTGTGTGTAGTTGTAAATGTGTAATGTCAGTGTGTGTAGTTGTAAATGTGTAATGTCAGTGTGTGTAGTTGTAACTGAGTAATGTCAGTGTGTGTAGTTGTAACTGAGTAATGTCAGTGTGTGTAGTTGTAACTGAGTAATGTCAGTATGTGTAGTTGTAACTGAGTGATGTCAGTGTGTGTAGTTGTAACTAAGTAATGTCAGTGTGTGTAGTTGTAACTAAGTAATGTCAGTATGTGGAGTTGTAACTGAGAAATGTCAGTGAAATGTATGTATAACTGAGTAATGTCAGTGTGTGTAATTGTAACTGAGTGATGTCAGTGTGTGTAGTTGTAAATGAGTAATGTCAGTGTTTGTAGTTGTAAATGAGTAATGTCAGTTTGTGTAGTTGTAACTAAGTAATGTCAGTATGTGTAGTTGTAACTAAGTAATGTCAGTGTGTGTAGTTGTAACTGAGAAATGTCAGTGAAATGTATGTATAACTGAGTAATGTCAGTGTGTTTGTATCTGAGCTATTCTAATTTGTGTAGTTATAACTGAGAAATGTCAGTGTGTTTTGAAAATTTTGAACTTTTTGAAAGCGTATGTTTGCCATATCTATCATGCCAGTCTGCCCATCCATCCTTCTCCTTTATACCGACCCAAACAATAAAACTCAGAGCCACGTTATAGAGACGGAACAAAATGCAGCACCATACTTAATGGTTTTATGTAAGATTAAGCAACTGGTAGGTTAACTGCTAAAGATGGTATTGTTACCTGTATTCTGTCTTCAGGTAGGTTGGTTTTCAGAGCTAACACTTCTCTAGCATATACATCGGGGTAGTGGGCTTCTTTAAACGCCTTCTCCAGCTCTTCGAGTTGATAGCTAGTAAATATAGTCCTGGAATGAAAAGCGATGCAGTCCTGAACAAATGCAAGCACGTCTAGCTATAGTGGGCGTGATTATCAAACGAACCCTGAAGTGCACTGTAAGCATTGTATATGGTTGGTTTGACCTTGAACAAAATGCATTGTTTATGAAAACATGAATACCAAAGTTGTAAACACAGTTTCATAACGGAGGGCATTGTGTATGAAAATATAAAAACTAAAACTTCTGTAGGTAGCTAGTGATTGCAGTCATTCAATGTAAAATACATAGAGTAATGCATTACTATACGGTTTAATGTCTTTGAATATCGATCTCCACTCATAACCGGTTTCATAGTTTTTAATGTTATAATGTACATTGTGTCTAATTGTTAAAAAAACACATTTAAGTATATATTTTACTGCAATTGATAATATTGTCGGGTCCTTTCACATAAAAATATGAATCATTTCATAGTTAATCAAATACAATTTAATTATTGTACTGGAAAGTACACGTCTTAAAGGAAATTAAAAACCGAAATAGTTTTGTTTTAACATGATTACCATACATATTCTTAGTAACCAAACGTTTGATGATACTTAGTTCCCTAACAAAACAACTTCATCAGAGACTTAATTATTATATGTCATCAGACACTTAATTACTGTACTGCATAAGACACTTAATCATTATACTTCTCATCTCATTAAAGATGTTTTATAACTAAACGTCCGGACATACTTAACTTCTATATAACATTACATAGATAATAAGTATAACTTAATTACTATACACCATTGTACAGATTATAAGTATAACTTAATTACTATACACCGATGTATAGATAATAAGTATAACTTAAACTATACACCGATGTATAGATAATAAGTATAACTTAATTACTATACACCGATGCATAGATAGTAAGTATAACCTAATTACTATACACCGATGTATAGATAATAAGTATAACCTAATTACTATATACAATAATATAAATAACTAGTAAAACTTTTTTACTTTACACCATTTTAAAGATAATAAGTATAACTTAATTACTATACATACATCAATTAATACATTTCCAACTATACTCAATTACCATATTACGTAACAGTTCTTTAGGTGCTTTTATATTTACGCTATTACCATACCTCTTGATATACCTATGTAATATTCTTTTTAACATATTTAATTATAAAACTTTCTAACGTACTTAACTACAATATGGGCTCTCATAGTAGATAACTATACGTCGAACATGTTTGTGTGTAATTACTAAACTGTTTAAGATAGAGACGATCTTACACATGAATTGCCGAGTTTTATAAAGCTTATGAAACGAGTCTAAGAGTTTCTCATTTTAGCAAGAATTTAGTGACGCCACGAAGTTGTCCTAACTGTGACGTCAGAAATGAAACAATGGAAAAGTACAGCCAGTCACAACTCTTCTCTTAATAAACCTGTGTGTGTAACACAAATTATGGAATAGGACACTGATATCAGTACAGTTATCCAATATACGATTTTTTTTATACATCTTAACATGTTTTATTATGATACTTCTTTACCTACTTAGTAACTATACTTCCTTACATATTAAATGTAGATCTTCTAATGATTCTCAATTACTATGCTTCCTATAGTTATTTAATTACCATGCTCCCTTACATAATTAACTTCCACACTTTCTTACTTCCTTCATTGATTTATACTTCCTAGTTGCCATGCTTCTTAATAAACTTATTTATGACACTTTCTTATATTTCAATTTCATTTCTATTCTTCTTTATATACATAATTACTATATTTCCGAACATACAAATAACCCTATGTTCAATTACTATACTTCCTTAAGTACTTTAAAATTACATGTGCTACACTTGCAAATATACTAATATGCTATGTTTCCGAAAGTACTTAATTACATGTACATGTGCTACACTTGCAAATATACTAATATACTATGTTTCCGAAAGTACTTAATTCCATGTACATGTGCTACACTTGCAAATATACTAATATACCTATGCTTCCGAAAGTACTTAATTATATGTGCTTCTCTTGTTAGTATACTTAATTACTGTACTCCAACACATGCTTAAATGCTATGTTTCCTTATTTACTTAATTAATCTGTTTTCTAATAAACTTAATTGTTGAACTATTCTGCATAGTTACTATACTTCTTAACATCCTTAATTGATTTATCTTATTTAATTAGAAGACTTCATAATACACTTGATTAATATAATTATTTATACATTTAAATTCATCTTTTTATAACTATTATTTTTCTTTAGAGACTTTATTACTATATTTTTTTTGAATAACTAATATATATACTTCATAATATACCTTATTGACATGCTTCCTGGCATACTCAAACCTAAAATGCCTAATACAATTTGTATTAATTCCGTTATGGATAGCCACATTAGACAAATTTGGTCGACCAGTTTCTATGCACCGGTTTATATAATAAAATATCTGTTTTATGATACATTAGTTATAACTACATTGTATGTCCATTGTTGTCTGTATCAAAATGATCCCCATGAATATGGTTCGAATCACATAAATATAAAAGTACAGTTGACCTTGACCACCGGTCAAGCTGTTCCCTTTGAACTTAAAGATCATGTTAAAACACTAATTTAGAAAGAAAAAAAAAGAAAAAAATAATTGTGTCAAAGCATTTCAACAGCATTGAAAGGAAATGCCTGTCCATTTATTCTTTCCTAACACATGAACTTAATAAATAATGTTTTTATTACTACGAATCATAAAAGAGAGCCACTTTTATTCACATACATGCAGTGGTAACATTGATTATACTGACATTTGACTTTGTAAATATTGATTGTTTATATGCATTTAAAATCATTCAGACAGTTTTTTTTCTATATGACAACAAAATCTATTTCCGTACGCCAATTTTCTACATTATACAATGTATCTCCCAATAAAGGCCACGTGTTTTCTGAGTATTGATCCGATTCCACTTGTGTGTATGAAACTACTGTGCTCTTAAGTACACAAATGCATTCTTGCAAGTTGACAAATGATAAATTATTTTGCACGTAAACATTTTAAAATAATACTTTCTGTCAAAGGAAAAATCGTAATTGAAATCTTTAGTAAACCAGAGAATGATTTAAATTCGTTACCAATGAAGTTGTTTTACAAATGTTGTAACACATATTCCATAAGGACCTGAATTAACATGACAGTATGATTACGATTTTATATTAATTTCATGTCAAATGCTTCACAATTTGTGAAACCAATAACTTAATTTTCCTTTGCACACAGACTAGGGTAGATTGTAGGCCTGTAACACATCCTCCGTCGACAGGGATTGACATTTTGCACCAATAAATTTGAAATATTTAGTAGAAATAAAAACGAATGCGGAGTAGTTTGGGGCACGGAAAGTCTGTGGAGACAGCCTTGTGCATGCTACATGTATCGATTATGTAGGGTAACAAATTAGCTCAAATTAGACTTTCGTGTATCTAAATTGATAAATACGCCAATTTGCACATTACCACTACCAAGGAAAATGTCAGAAAAGTGGTTGCTTTCATTGGCCTGTATTGTACGTAAAGGCATTACTTCCCTAATCCCTAATGGTCCTGGTCTCACCCAATTTATTAATTGCCTACAGACAGTAGACAAACGTCTAATAGGCCAATACTCATTCTGTGAAATTGCATGAAAATGCGGAAAACGACACTAAAGGACAATGCATCTGCTGATAATGATTAGGAATTCTCAGAAGAAGGGATTTAACCTATTGTGTTATGTGTTGTTCTATGTAGTGGATAGCCGTCAAACGACTGTGAGTCGTCGACTCCGTCCTCGGCATGAATACCAGCCAGCTTCGACTCCGTCCTCGGCATGAATACCACCTAGCTTCGATCTTTTTGGCGTGAAACCAGTTACCTCCGGCCATAGTTAGGGGTCAAGTTACCCACTTTGTATTTTCCTTTTTGATAAAAAAAAAAGATTGATATCCTCTTCAGGGAGCAGCAATCTCACTAGGTTAATTGAGGTGGCATTGCTTTTTGTATGAAAGAATATGTGAATACTCCTTTATTTTATTTTACAATTTGTATGCTATCAAATGTATAACATATTATTTCTTTTCGTTCGTATTATATTCCATTAAAACTTCAGCTGTGAAATTATTTAATATCGACGACCGTCACAACACAATGTAATAGATATTACTTAATTGTATTACGTTTGAAGCCAACATATTCACATTTAGCAAACACTCTGATTTTGTTGCGACACTTAAGCTAGAGTCTCAGTTACTTGATTTCTGGTTACTGTATGTATTATGGCTTCTATGAAATTGGCAATTATGGAACATGTTCAGAAACTGCGGCATTACTCGACTCCATTGTACGGATTTCCCTCATACACACATTATTGTGTTTTCCTTTAATTAACCATTAATTTTATATTAATTGGTTATGCAAAGTTCAGAAAAATATCACAAATATGATATTTGAATTTTGACTTGGTTTAAACTAATCTTAAGTTATTATTATACATGTATGCGTAAATTCGATATGTATTTGTGCAAAAGAGAACAAAGATTTGCTGTTTTCATTATTTCGGAAGCACGTGTACGCGCATAAGATATGTATGGTAGATATTGACGAGGTCATAGTGTCTCAATGTGGGGCAAGACAAGTTTGTTATTTTAGCTGTGGTTTAGATGTAGGCCTACTGTATACTTGTCAAGTGGTTTAAATGAATATTCATAATGACTCATAAACCCTTAATGTCACTTCATAAGAATGCATTGTATATATAAACAAACAATGGAAAATATCTAATCTATCAGATATTTTTTAAAATGTACATATTATCTACAATGGCATTTAACATAGGGTAGATGTAATAAATGGCGGAGGGTAAGCGTGATGAGTGAAAGAATAAGCTTATTACCTGTGACGTCGCTTCTTTTTCTTTTTCTTACTGCTCATACCAGCATTGTCAATATTCTCCAAACTACCTTTGTCACTGTAGCTTGACTCCAGACCTGAAATAGGCATGAAATAATGTCTTTCTAAAATATAATTTCTTGTAATTATATTCCTCAATGCCGTTTGATTCTAACATTACTAAGTATGCAGCGCTATAACAACTAAATGTCCACTCGTGTAATAAGTTCTACGTTCCTTGTCAAAGCAGACGTGTTGTAAAGGCGTCCAAACTTTGTTTTACTACTTATGTAGATAGTTCCTTGTTTGTGCACACAATATAATATAATCTAAATTATACAATAAAATAAATATCAAGTTAAAAACGTGAATGTGATAATTTCTGTGTGTTGGCTTTGAGATGTCCTCCTTATTTAAATTTTGAATGTATTTATTTTTATTTTAAATACAATCTTGTATTAAATAAGTAACATTTTTATATAACTATTAAGCTAGTTTTCTAGCTATCAACCAAAGAAATGTACCCTGTGTTCACAATTACATTGAAAATCTGTAACCACCGGTTAATTACTTCTGTGACTTAAATCAATAGCCCTATTATAGTTCCTTGTGTCTTCCTTGCCGTATTGTCTGATTCTGTTCTGGAAGTTTTACTCTTGTTGTTAATTCATGTCTTATAAAGTAATATATATTTAACGCACCATTCATTTAACATCTATTTGTTTGCAACCATTGATTTCTAAGATATTTCTATATTCTGTTTTCCTAAAATTTCATTTTTGAAATAAAAAATGTCTATTTAACTCTTTCCGGAAACTATTCATGATGCTACGATAAGATTTGTCATCAGCTACTTTATAAAATCAGCGTTACATAGAAATATTGACAGCAATATTTGTGTAAAGGAAGTATTAGCATGAGGATACACAGTTCAAACACATAATTGTTTGTACCATACGTTTGTAATTAGCTAATTAAAATCCCAGTCAATTAACCTCTTGTATAAATTAGCTTGCCGCTTTGGGTGTAAAACCAATATCGTTTAATCTTGCTTAAATGGACGAAACCCACAAGCAATTTTCCGATTTGAAAGGAAATCGCATTTCCTCATATTAATAAATAATAAATGTTTTCATTCTATTTTTAATCGGCCATGGCACTGATGCGTATAAACTGCCGCAGACGAAATGCTTCTTTTCCCGCCGGATTTCCGCACGTGCATGGAATGAGTCAGCTTATAGTTTATAGAGGTCCCTCACTATACAGGTAGAACGGTAAGGATATCTATGAGAGTAATGATCAATTTGTGTTCACCTCAGAAGAACCAACGCTTAGCCTATAGCTTTAAACACCCTGAGGCGGCATTATAGACATCCAATTCATTACAAGTATTTCAAAATAAAGTCATCACATGTAATGTAAGCGTTAGTTCTTCGATATTTCACTACTAATATCAATGCCTTAATCCTAACTTATACAGTTAAATAACCTTTTAACGTATCAAACTGCCTTTCAAATATCAAAAAGATAAAATGATAGAGAAAGTAATTGCCTCTTCTTTTGTGTTGTCATTAAAATGGCATGAAGGTTTATACCATTAGAATATTAGCCATCTGCTGATTGTCGTCCAATTATACGGCCTCGCGATGACACTACGCAAGGCGTAAGTAAAGACATTTCACGCAACTTTAATTTTCAAACGCAAATTATTTTAGTTAAAAAAATAATGCTTCTAGCAATTTGAAACATTCCTTAATTGGTGTTCTGAACGTGGGTTTAGCGGTGAGATTTACACTAAATTAACTCCATCAGAGAAGAATAAAATCGCCACCTTCAACTAGACATGTACAGCTAGTCTCTGTGATAGCTTATTGCAAACAAAGAGGGGATAAAACCTAAATGTGGTGTAATAGTATAAATATGAATAAGATATACATTTATTCTATTATTTATGGAGATATCAAACAATTATCAGAATCCATGTTCCGGCATAATTCATATCTATATCTCTGATGATTACCGACATTTTCTGCGTTGGGTTGTTTAACCAGATTTCTATGGTGAAACTTATCCAGGAAAAAATAACAAAATGTATATGTTTTATATCATTATTTCCACATTTATTTGATTTTTTTTATAATGTTACATCTATTAAACTACAACTAGCTGGAAAAAACTAAGAGTCCTGTTAATTTTCAGTCTTTTTTACCCAATAAACTAATGTAGTAATTTTACTTATAGACTCGGGCATTTTGATGTATCTAAGTTATCATTGAGTGCCATCTTCCCCAGCTGGTCTGTCTGCACGTGTCAGTATTCGACTAGCCGCTGGTCAGTAGGTGAGGCCGTGTTTACAGTAAATCGGATTACTCTTTGGCATGCGTATCCTTCAGTGTTTACCCTATTTACACCCGATATGTATTTATTATTACATACTGAACAAAGTTCTTTTACCCTAACATTTTATTTCAAATCTGACACTAGAAAAAGAGGAGTAACTAGACAAAAATGTGCGTGTTTTATTTTAACAATCGGTATTACTATTCAAAGAATTATTTTAAGTGACAACACAATACTTACAAACGATTTGTGCGCGAAATGTGTATGTTTATGCGAGGAAAAAGGAAAAGTTTATACTATAAAGTTATTTAGATATTCGTAAGTTCTTGAGAATAAACGCATCTTTTCTTATTTACATTTGCATCGAATTTAAAAATGAATATATAATATTATTATTAGGAATTTCATTCAGACCATAATGCAATATATCATGAAATTATAAGTTAAATAATGAACTAGATTAGTATGTATTTCCTAGTAATATTCTAGAAAAAAAATTGTAAATTTGGTTTAGTTTTCTTTTCGTATTTAAAATCAAAACGTTGCTGTTAGCTTGACAGTTAAACAATGCTCTTTCATCTATACATTCCTCGCGTGTTTACGATGTGTCCCTTGCTAAGTGTGGAGGTTTCAACTCCATTCATTTCCCGCCAAAATGTGTCAAATATCAACGAACAACAACGTGAAAAACAGTGATAAATACAGAAATATTTTATCTCTGAAAGATGAAAGAACGCTCAGTTTTGTTATCTCAAATTTACGGAAAACAGACACATTTGTACGGAAAACGATTGTTGATAAAACCTGTATAAATGTAGTTTGTTTGATATATCTTGAGGATTTCTTGAGTGAAAATGTCAAGTGCGACAAGCTAGCCATTATAATTAGCATTCTTTAAAATATGACACATATTAACAACGTTTAAAATCGAGCGAACTACACATTGGCATGCATTGTTTTCTGACTAGAATATCGAACAAATGAAACGCCCGGTTACTTCATATGAAGCGCATTTTTTGTGCATAGGATACACGCACTATAATACAGTTTATGTTTGTATGTTGCTTTTTATAACAGACTTAAATGTGTTTTACTTGTAGATTTATTTAAAAAACAAATATTTAAAAAGGTTTTTCATTCATGTCTGCTCTGAGTTTATATTTTATATAGAAATGACAATTTGTTTCAAATCTGCTCAAGCTAAAAATTATACATACAAATTATTATGATAAAAAACTAATACACAATAAGAACATGATGACCTTCGGTTTTGATGCAATATGAAAGCATTCTTAAAGACAAATACTCACCTGTTTTGACATGGTCACTACCTTTGGACAAGAGGTTATTCGGAGAGGGTCCTAAGTTGAACACAGATTGCGCTGAGCTGCTTAAAGCATTGATGAAGGTGGACCTCCACGTGGAGTAAGGAAGTGATACTGGAATGTCCTTGATTGCTGACCGGACTGGTCCTAACGAACTGGACAATGACGAGGCCAGGTACGATGACGATAAGATAGGGTCACTCTGGGAATGCCTTGGTCTCTCTGATTCGTGATTATTGTTCCCTAGTCCTAAAAGTTCTTGAATTGCAAACGGTGTTCTCTGACTTCTATCAGGTAAGGACCCCCCATGTGCAATGGGTGTGGCAGGAAAGGGTGAAGCAGTTAGTCCTATGGTTCCAGCCGCCGTTACTCCGAACGCGTACGGATGGTGATGTGCGGCGAAGTTCATCATCGCGTATGCGTCCGTGTTTTTCAGCGTTAACTTCTTGAATGATTCTCACTTTCAATCAAATACGTCTAAGGACGTCTTCTGCTAAATCCGTATAAACATTTTGTTAAATATTTAAAAAAAATATATATAACTGCAAAATACCGATCAATGATTAGGTCTATACTGAATTAAACACCTAATTCAGAAAATGATGATCACAGATTCTTAATAAAAAGTACTGTTAGGATGCCACGAAAATATATCACGCACTGGAGCCTTTTATCGAGTCGTTAGCTTGTTTTTGAATCATTTAAGCAGTCTTTTCTGATTATATCAATTTATTAGCGATTGTATATTTACTTTGTGAAGCCACGCCCTCGCCTGCTACATCTATGGCTGCTGATGCTGCCACTCACAGCCACTCAACCAATCGAGTGTCAAGTCAGCCACGTGAAGTTATTAGCTGCGTTACTCCTCTCTCACCGCGCTCGTTGTCGTTGTAATACGGGGTCCCCTGACGCCTATAGCCTCGGCTTGAGAGGGCTTCAGCACGCGTGTATAGGCCCCTTCTACGATACCATATTAAGTGATATATCCACAAGATTTTTACAAGAAGTTTGACAAGCAGAAATGACCACTATCAGTAATTGACTTAATTTTTGCCAATGCATTGGTCAGTGCTGGATAGGTGGGGAGTCCGTCCGGAGCAGGCGTTACCACAGAAATAAGGAGAATTTAAATGTGCACGCTTAATTGATTCAAATGTCAATCGATTTTTTCCACTAGACTGCAGAGCCGATTTAATAATGATCAAAGTATAATGATTAGAACCTGTAACGTATCTAATTTGAACGACAATACATCATTTGTTCAGCGTTAGTTGTTAAAATATTTCAGGATAAACACTTTTTGTTCGAATTACAAGGAAAACATTTTTGTTGTTAGATTACGTTTAAAATGAGTTTTATAAATATATCATGATTAATTTAATAAACATTTAATGGAGAAGTAAATATCTGAGCGATTACGTTATGGTGGAGTAGGATTTGACAGTTGTGATATTAAAACCTGACATACATATGAAAAGAGATTGACATTATTATACTATACGGTCAGCCATTGATTCTTGTTATGTAAGGGCTTAATCTAAATGTTATCTAGTCAAAAAAGATGTTTTTAAAAACATTTTATACCTGCAAGTTTAGAAATAAATCTGGTTGAATTAGTGTATACAGGCTAAATGCCACTCACTTTAAAATATTTTCATCTTGTTATACAGATTGTCCGTTCTTTTTCTCTGTGTTTTATATTACTAAGTAAATACCCTATCAAGTTTGATTTACAGATGTAAGTTTTACTAAGATTAATTTTAGAAAAATAAAAAGTCGTATTTGAATATATCATATTATCTCATATGTTCTCACTTCAACTTTTACTTACTGGGCTTTATTTCCAAGAAGTTTCTGAAGCCGTCATTTTCGATTATTTTCCTGGTTTGATTCAATTTTTAATTTCCATGTTTACGTTTTAATAGATTGTGCTATTTTCTCATGCAAAGTCATGTATTTTCACAGATATAAACATGGTTAATTTAATAGATTACACAAAAATTAATAATTTAAATGCAAACACGAAAAAATTAAGATACATTTGTAAATCTTAAATTTTTTAATATAATACATATACATGCATAATTAAAAGAAGATTACAACTCCTTTTAAATATCACTACAAAATGCTATCATCAATTATTATGTAATATTGACAGTAAATATTACATGTCAACACAATAACTAGGATTTTAACATGTATGTTATATAACAATGTGTATACTTTTATGCTAATAAGTTTCCATGTAATGGTGTGTATAATATGTAATGCATATTTTATAGCATACATTCCCTGTTTGTTACACATATTGTAAAAATAGTTTCCACTTGATGGTGTATAAAATATGTTATACATATTGTATATCATATTTTCCCGTGTTGGTTAATATAATGCATTCAGTACAACATAGCTTTTTGTAATACATACTTAGAATCCAGGTACCTCATTTCTTTATTTAACAGATTATTGCAACGGTGATTTTTTCAGGTCTGCAAACAACTTGTTCCTTCTTCCAGTTAATGATTTGCTTTTGTAGAAAAAGACAAAAGAATAACTAATATAAAAGATACCGAACTAGATTCACTTCTTATCAATCTCACACCTTTTATATAAATCAAAGTAGGTACGCCACGTTTGGTCTGCTTAATATAGTGCCTCCTTATTGATGAAAATTTAAGTATTTCATGTAAAAATATAGATAAATAAACACCAAGGTGAAAAGTACAAAAAACGGAATATGTCGCCCACCTTCAAAAAAATACAAAAGTTCCTTTAACATTTTTAAAGAGGTCAGTTTTACAGCATGCAAGTCATTTTTACAATAAACAGAAGTCCTTAAGCAGCATGCAATTTTTAAAGTGCATTATACAAAAGTCAATTTTACAGTTTACAAAAGGCACTTCGCAAAGAATAACCAATTTTACAAAATACAAAAAGTCACTTTTAAAGCCAGTTTGGCAGAGTACGACAGACACTTTTCCAGTATGCAAAAGTCACTCTTACAATATATCAAAAACATTTTTATAGTACACGAAAACCACCTCTACGATATAAAATGGTACATCACGGTTTGCAACAGTAACTATATGGTAACCTTAACAGTGTAAAAATGTCAAGTTACAGTTTTAAGTCACCATTACAGTAAAAAAAAGCTATTTTAACAGTTGAGAAATGTCACATTTTCTTATCACATGCTTAATTTAGTGAATGATTAATGTCAACGAAATTCGTTAAATTACAACTAATAATTGATTATAATGAAGCATACAGTTTTGAATAAAGGTATTACATGATTTAAATCAATAATTAGTCTAAATAGATTAAATGTACTTATAAATGTAACTAATAAAAGAATGTATTGTTCAACACAAAATATAATTGTACTTCATCAAGAAAGTAAAACAACTGAGCTAAAAGTACACAATAATGAGACCTGTTGTAATTGTATATCTACTAATGAGAGAATGTTGGCGAATATCTTGGATACCACCATAGAAATCCAAATGAGCACTGAAAACGTTGAACAGCATTTGAAAAAAAATACCATTATCTATATAATACGTACTGGTTTTCTCTAAATTGATTTTACTTTTTCAATTCATTTAAAGTGTTTCATCTATTCCACGTGCATCTGTATGCAAGGCTCTATCAGACGGTTACATACACTGTCTACGGTTCCTTAATATGGAATAGGAACCCGCTCGATCAGTCAGTGTCGCCAGCCACAGTGAATAATTTGATAAAAACACAGTTTAACATTTTTAAACTTTCAATTAAGTTACAGAAGACCTACACACCTTTATAGAATAAAGATACTAATTTTTAATTTGAAGGTCTAGCAGGTTTAATTCCACGGTTAACAGAATCAGAAATACGACATTTATCAGTTAGCGATTCCACATAAAACTGGCTCAATTTGTCCCCCATGTCATCGCTTTGTTCGTTACCCCATGATAATTGGAATATGATCGGAGTGCGACGTGAAACCCTAGGATCAACATGACGGCATAGAGGTCAATGATCGATGGCATACTCAAATCTCTTTTTTTTCATTTCAATTTAAATTGCAGAGACCTAGCGGAATCGTCTAGTGTGATGCATCGTTTGATGGATGCATAACTTGGTCATCAGTGGTAATGGGACTATACTGTATTGTAATGGTCTCCGACGTTTAATAAACCGATAGTATTACTTGTATTTCAGGTGATCTCTCGCGAATTGGTCATTGCCATTATAATTGTCTGGTCCAAACTGTGTCTGACCTTGTGATATCCCTGAGGTTTTCAGACAGATTTCGGTAGACATTGACATTGGGAAAGTTGACGTACATATCTAAAATGTTTTAGTCATGATTTTCCCCTTCACTTTGGAAGTATTATTCAAAGTCTATAGAAAGGTTCACATGCATGTGTGTATATATAGTACCATAACGTTAAATCATCGAAACTCATACGTACATAAACGCTGAAATTAATATAATTTCGAAGGATTGTGGTTATTTTGTTATTTATTTCTTTTGACATGTGGCAACTATCGTGTGAGGTGCTTTAAAGTGTTTTTGGAGTTAAACAAACGGTCGATTTCTGCCCAGGAAAGAAATTGCACTTAAGGTTGTACGAAACGACGATGCCTGTGTCCTTTTCCTACATCTATATCCGCATTTTTATCAATTTATCGATAAGTTGTTTTAATTAAAAAACTTAAGATCAAAACAGTTGTTGATATTTATGTTTTGTTCATCAATTAGATAGTACATTAGTAAATGTTGTTTTATTTCTGTTTCAGATATCCTCAGAGGCTATAGATAATACCAGAATGGTTGCAGGTTATCTATATTAACGTTTCTAAATATGACTAAATACACCTGGATATATTTTTTCTCCAAAGGTGGTCAGAGGCTTGGCAACTCCGTTTTCATTCAGAAATACGCAAAGTGATGCGCGTGGGACACTCCAGCGTTAATCCAATGACGTGCAAACGTAAAGAAAATTACTTCGATAAAGATATCGATATCACTATTGACAATAAAGTATCACTTGATAAACATATTTCTGAAAGAAAAGAAAAAAAGCTAGTTCCTTTATGGGAGTTCTTTTAAGGTTGCTATACACATCCTAAGTTAGACCACACATTGAAAACACGAATCAGGTCATGTGTATTTATTTTTTCATTTCAGAACTGACTGTCAAAGAATTGTAATTGCGCCGAGGTTCCACGTATTCTCATATAAACAAATGTGACGTTTTCATTTAGAAGATATATGGATTAATATGGTTGCCGTATTAGCGTAATGGTTAGAAACAAAGAAAACAAACTATATATACGAGAACAGAAGAATGAAAGAAAAACGTTATTTAAACCGAAAATTCTGTGTATATAGGTCTCCGACATCAATATCAGACGGTCCTGCTGCTAGTGTAACTTATAAAGTGACAACAGAACCAAGAAAATTGTTCTTGATTTGGCAACAGTTAAAAACGGAATCCTCAAGTTCGCACTCCCAATAACAATATACATTGTGAGTTAGATCAATACATTTGCATATAGTCTCTGTGGTAAATTGTTCTAACGTATTACTAAGTCAAATGGTATCAGTGCTTTCAAAATAGTTGTGAAGTAACGTGCTTTTCAATAATTCCTAAACGTTATATATAGTGCTAGCGCTCAAACTAATTCATTTGA